CTAAGTAAAAGAGTTCTTATGGACGTAACATTTAAAATTGTTATTAAAGGTTGCTTTAAGCAGCTACTTGTTATTTATATTTAATACTTTGACGAGGTAAATAATCTAAAAAAATTTAATTTAAACAAGAAAGAAAGCAAACTTCGGCAAGCCTTGCAGCTATGCAAGAATTAAACATTTTTGAAAACATTAAAATTATGATTTACTTGCGTATAGTTTAAAAACATTGAAACTATGATGACTTGCAGCTCAATTATTTTATAGTTATTTTATATAATTTTATTATTTCTGATATAGACGTCCGATTTTGATAAAATTTAAAGCATAATTCTGAAATATTTAACCATTGCAATATGTCGAAGAACTAAACAAAAAATTAAAAAACAGAAAAGTTATAATTTTTTTTCATTTATTTTTCCGATTGTTCCTATGGGAGCTATATGCTATAGTCGTTCGATCCGGCTCGTTCCGACTTATATACTACCTGCAATAGAAAGACAACTTTTGGGAAAGTTTCATGCAGATAGCTTTATAACTGAGAGACTAGTTTGCATATAAACGGACGGACAGACGGACAGACTGACAGACAGACGGACATGGCTAGATCGACTCGCCTAGTGATGCTGATCAAGAATATATATACTTTATAGGGTCGGAGATGTCTCCTTCACTGCGTTGCAAACTTCTGACTGAAATTATAATACCCTCTGCAAGGGTATAATTATATAAAACAATTAATCTTTAAACTCCATTGATCGTTTTTTGAGCACTCCATTGACAAGTCAACCATTTATTTATTTCACCTTTTGTGTAGCCATTATGAGTAATTACCTTCCTCCAATCACCGAGCGTTTAATAAATGTCAAAGGGGCGTTCTTAAGCTCCAGCAAACCAGCGACTTACTCTTAATTGCAGCTAGTTGTTGTGATTATTATAGTGGGTATCTGGAAATAAGCTGGGTATGCACAACTAGATTGTGTTGTGCTAGAAATTTACTTGCCATTTTGTATTTAAATTATGATTTTTAAGTCAAAAGACTAATTTTAAGTGTATTCCCGGTATATCCCGGATTTTGAATGAAGACCATAGACAAGTTTTCTTTTTTGCCAAGTGTATTTTTGTAAGTGTCTTTGTGTTTACAAATAATAGTGCCGGACGAGAAGAGCAGGGACAAGATCCAATAGAGTGGTGGATGGTTTAAGTTTCGGTGGTGCAGTTCAGTAGTTGACTCCAGTATCCTCCTTGTTGGACATCTGTTTTCGAACTTTCAAGTGCTTGCCATCTGGAATACAAAATATAAAAATATAATGTATTTAAATAAATAATTGCTTGGTTACTACTCACCAGTCGATAATTGATTGAGAACTGAACTGCACTGCAAGATACGGTAGATCCTCCACTCAACTTGTTTGCCATTCGGTTTAAGTGTTTAACAGGGAATTTGAAGTCTACGTTCAATCAAGTATCAATCGCATTCAGTTGGCAAGCTTTGAAATTTAATTCATATATTTAACATAGCAAGAAAAAGTTGCGTTAATATTATTTACTTACTGCATGTTTAACCGGGTTTTTTGTACAATCTCCTTTTATGTCCTTTAGCAAGCATTTTTTTGTTGGGTTTTGTTTATTAAGAAAGTGTTTTTCAAAAATGTTATTTAACACTTTATGCTTAAAACTAAATTTGGCTTTTTTTGTATTGTTCAGAAGGCAATTTCCTGTGTGTTATTTCTCCGACTTGGTTGTGTATACTGAACTCTGTAGGGACTGATGGGTGTAAGTAGAACTCGAAATTAAAAGCATGGATAGTTTGATCAAGAAAAAGGGAACAAATTTGAAATTTTCAGAAAATGAAAAGCCGATTGGATCAGAATATGATGAGGACATGATAAGTCCATGTAGAATTTTCGAAGTCCTTTTATAAGAAACCCATATCAATTAATACACAAGAAAAGGAACAGGCTTAAAATGCGATTCTGAAACTTCTTCAAGCCCTATGGTATCTCCTAGTCGAGTCTACCCAACTCCCAAGGATAGCCACCTGTTGCTGCTGACTGGATGATATTGTTGTAATACTGGGCAGAGCCCCGGGGCAGTCTTTATTTTCTTGGGTTTCGCCTCTTGTTTTCCCGCTCTCTGGTTGAGGCTGCCACTTAATTTATTTGTCACCGAAATTTAAACCGTAATTCTGAAATACTTAATCATTACTATATGTCGAAGACCTTAAATAAAAAATTTAAAAACAGTTATAATTTTTTTTGTATTTTTTTTCCGATTGTTCCAATGGAAGCTATATGATATAGTCGTCCGATTTTGATGAAATTAAAACCGTAATTCTGAAATACTTAACCATTACTATATGTCGAAGAACTAAACAAAAAATTAAAAAACAGCAAAGTTATAATTTTTTGTATTTATTTTTTTATTGTTCCTATGGGAGCTATATGCTATAGTCGTCCGATCTGGCTCGTTCCGACTTATATACTACCTGCAATAAAGAAAGACAACTTTTGGGAAAGTTTCATGCTTTAAAACTGAGAGACTAGTTTGCATATAAACGGACGGACAGACGGACGGACAGACGGACATGGCTAAATCGACTCTACTAGTGATGCTGATCAAGAATATATATACTTTATAGGGTCGGAAACGTCTTCTTCACTGCGTTGCAAACTTCTGACTGAAATTATAATACCCTCTGCAAGGGTATAAAAATTGCTTCAATATTAGCGACTCCTTTGATACTGAGGATTTTTAGAAAAGTAAACGATGGAACCCATTAAGTATTAAACAAATTTAATAGAGAAAAATCACGCGATTTCAAAGTTTACTTTACCTAAAATCCTACGTGTCGAATTTTTCTTCTATCGTGCGATATTTCTTTATAAAATTTGTTGAATACTTCTTAATGGGTTCCATAGTTTAATTTACTAAAAATCCTAAAACTCAAATATGTCGCTAATTTGAAAGCAAAATTACAATTTTTAAAGTGTTTACCTCGTCAAAGTATTGAATATAAATAATAAGTAGCTGCCTAAAGCAACCTTTGGGAACAGCAATTTACTGAACGTGAAACAAGTGTTCTTATTGCAAGAAACTTGGTAAAAGAAAAAATTTAAAATAAATTAAGAACATTGTACATTTCTATGCAAAACATGGAATAAAATAAAATAAAATCAAATACAAATTTTTTAAAACAATTTTGGGGTGCTATTTCATTTTAGAAATTTCAAAAAGGAAATAGCACCCCCAATTTGGGGGCTTATTTCATTTATTTTTATTGCTGCCTATTGTGCATTAGGGTCTTATTTCATTTTAAAAATTGGGGTATTATTTTTTTATGAAATAAAACCCAAATTTTGGGGCCCTATTTCGATTTACTTTTTTTTTTAAATTTCTTTAAGGTCTTATTTCCAGCACCCGAAGCTTGCATCCTTTCTTTTGTTTTGGTAACATTTATTAAATGTTGATTTGAAGTCCATTTGTGCTCTGAAAACTCATATTGGCATACCAAATGGTTAAAGCCCTAGTCTCCGATAGTTGTGGCCCTGGGTCGATTCCCAGTGCAGACAGAAAAACTCATAATGAAATGTAAGTGTCAAAAATTGGTTCCATATAACTTATTAAAAACAAGAACGAAAACAGGCCGAAGTTTCTATACCCGTGAATTTATTGCAAAAACTCGATATCACTATGGTTGGCAGTACTTTTAGTGACGATCGCACCAAAAGCTTGTGCATAGGAGACTATTTTAACTAACCGCAGAATTGAAAATCAGCTGTGATGGTCAGATCGTAACGAAGAATACACCAAAGGTATCGCTAAAAGAATATGGATTGCAAACCAAGATTTTACGTTCAGGAGATAGGGCGGTGAAAGTGACATACTGTTGGTAAAATATTCCACTTTTATAGCACACTTAAACTTTTGTTGAAAATACGCGTCGAATGGTATATCTCAAAATGACTTTTTCGGTGCCGGCATACACTTCGGCTTGCCAAAGTTTATTTTTAAAAATCATGGTAATAATATTGGAGTACTTTGACTATATTTCAAACAAAAACTTCTGATATCAAACAAAAAACACCTCTTAACGAGGTAAAAAAGTTGTGACGATCGCACCTTCAACATATAAAATATCTGATATCAAATTTTGTGACGAAAAATGAATAAGCATTCGACTAAATAAATACACTTTTTAAATGTTCTTAATCAGCAAGCTGAGATAAAAAATGCCTGTGAAGGCAAAAGAAAGATTTTAAAAGAATATTTCATTTTGCAATAGCTGCAAGGGTATATAAACTTCGGCTTGCTGGAGCTCGCTTTCTTTCTTGTTGCAATAAAGTTCTGAAAAGGGCAGAAGCATCTGAGAAGCTTTTTTTTCCAAATCAATACAGGACGAGAAATTGTTATAAATAACTTTTCGATTTAAAGATATCTCTCTGTATCCGTGTTTTATTACGTTTCCATATTCGTTGAATTTATTTAATTCGGTCAAAAAGTCGCCTAATAATCGTTTTCAAGTCGGAAATACTATTAGCTACTCGAGCTAATGATTCTAATGAGCCCTTCGTCAATGGGTCAATGGAATAGAAATATCTTGAAATAAGTGGCTAGCTATACAATGTTTGTGAGCTGATTTATTCGAGCTGTTTTCTGAGGGCTCGTATATGTATCGATCACAGTAATCCCAATCAGTGATCTGTGGGTCTGCCTGCAAAATGATGTTTTGCCTTTGCATTTTCACATCATAGCTTATTTTATGACGGCTTATACCCAAAACCTAAGTGTTTTCGAATTGCCCAATCCCTAATAATCCTTGTAAGTTGCCCTTTTTTATGACGGTGTTGGCCCTAACTGGTTTTAAATTACCCGCCCGGCTGCTGCGAGCACTACCTGAACTGGCGGATCCGCAGATTACCTAACCACCTGGCCCCCGTGGGTCACATATAAGGTGTCATCGGTGAGACAGCGTGACATTAGGCCGCGAGTTACCAGAATGACCAGAATGCAGTTGCTGTGCTACTCCGCCCTTGCTGTGCCACTCCTCCTGATCGGCCTGGCACCGGGGCCATCGGCCGCCAGCGATGACGGGTGCAACGAGGTGGTCTGCGGATCGGTGGTGTCCAAGTGCCTGATCACCCAGAGCTGCCAGTGCAAGCTGAACGACTGCCACTGCTGCAAGGACTGCCTGAACTGCCTCGGCGAGCTGTACATCGAGTGCTGTGGCTGCCTGGACATGTGCCCCAAGCACAAGGACTCGCTGCCCTCGCTGACGCCGCGCTCGGAGATCGGGGACATTGAGGGCCTGCCGGAGCTCTTCGACACTCTGACTGCCGAGGATGACGAGGGATGGTCCACCATCCGGTTCCCCATGCGCGCCGGCTTCAAGCAACGCGTTCAGGGCAGTAACCCCGGCCAAAGTCCCAGTGACAGCGGAGTCTCAGCCGGACTCAACACCTTGTGCACCGTCATCTACGTGAACTCCTGCATCCGGGCGAACAAGTGCCGGCAGCAGTGCGAGAGCATGGGGGCCAGCAGCTATCGGTGGTTCCACGACGGATGCTGCGAGTGCGTGGGCGGGAACTGTCTCAACTACGGCATCAACGAGAGCCGCTGCCGCGGATGTCCGGAGAACCAGGACCCGGAGCAGGACCAGCTGCTCACCGCCGACTCCGTTCCGGCGGAGGCCGAGCAGGATCTGGAGCGCTTATTTGGCAACGAGGAGATCGAGGACAGCTGGAGCTATGGCGAGGACGATGACTTCTCCTACGCTGATAAGAACGCAGACGACTAGTCAAGTTCAATATTCTCTCATTGGAACATGTTTTTTTTACTAATATTATAATAATAATATAATATAAACATTGTAATTTATTTATTTAAATAATGCTTGCCTATATTTAACACAAAGTTTCTGCTTGGGGATGGCAATATAGCTGATGAAGGCTTAAGTTCGTCGGTTATATTTCAGTTGATTTCTATTTTGACTAGCTTAATTTTTATACCCTTGCAGGGGGTATTATAATTTCGGTCTGAGGTTTGCAATGCAGTGAAGCAGACATCTCCGACCCCATAAAGTATACATATTCTTGATCAGCATCACTAGGAGGGTCGATCTAGCCATGTCCGTCTGTCCGTCCGTCTGTCCATCTGTCCGTTTCTACGCAAACTTGCCTCTCCGTTTTAAGGCTATCTGCCTGAAACTTTTCCAAAAGTTGTATATAAGTCAAAACGAGCCCGATCAGACGACAATAGACTATAGCTCCCATAGGAACAATTGGAAAAATAAATGAAAAAAATTATAACTTTGCTGTTTCTTAACTTTTTCTATAGTAACAATTTAATATTTCAGAATTACGGTTTAAATATCATTTGAAAAGGACGACTATATCATGCAGTCGAAACATATATATTAATCGAAATATTACAAAAAAAAATAAATAAAAACAAGAATGGAAGCAAACTTCGGCAACCCGAAGTTCATATACCCTTGCAACTATTAAATATTCTTGAAGACATTAAAATTATGATTTGCTTGCTTATATGTTTAAAAACATTGAAGCTATGATGATTTGCAGCTCAAATAATCAATAGTTCCTATGGCAGCTATATGATATCGTTTTCCGATTTTAATAAAATTAGAAGCGTAATTCTGAACTGTCAAATTATTATCAAGTCAAAAAGAATTTTGAAAAAAAAATTACAAAACAGAAAAGTTACATTTAAAATTTTTTTATTAACTTTTATTGTTCCCATGGAAGCTTTATTTAAATTTAAACCGTAATTCTGAAATATTTTACAATTACTAAATGTCGAAGAACTAAAAAAAAATATTAAAAACCAGAAGTTGAAATTTTTTTTTCCTATGGAAGCTTATGCACTACCTGCAATAGAGAGACAACTTTTGGGAAAGTTTTATGCATATAGCTTTAAAACTGAGAGTCTAGTTTGCGTAGAAACGGGCGGACGGACGGACGGACAGACGGACATGGCTAGATCGACTCGCCTATTGATGCTGATCAAGAATATATGCGTTGTAAATTTCTGACTGAAATTAGAATACCCTCTGCAAGGGTATAATAAAATTTTACTTCTCTATTTTTTAATTTTGTTTTGACAAAGTAATAATTTGATAGTTTAGAATTATGCTTTCAATTTTGTTCAAATCGGAAAACGATATCATATAGCTGCTAAAGTAACGAAAATCATCATATCTTCAATGTTTTTTAACATATAATCATATAAATCAAAATTAAGATGTTTTAAAGAGCATTTAATTTGTTTTCTTTCTTGTTTTGTAATGCATTAAGTTTTCCCATAGTAAAGTAAACCTATTTTTTAACATTTCTTGGCTTATAAATATAATAGCCATCAACAATATATGATGATATTGCCAAATGCATTTATTACATTTAAAAATTTCAACTGATCTTTTGGATATATAGACATCCGCTTCATATTGGCCGCGAGAGAGCGAGAGGCAAATAACCGGCGAACACTTTCGACAATGCAGAGCGTTGCCAGACGTCTGTGATGAACAGAATACAAAATTTAATCTTTGATTTTGTTGGATCTGAACTTGCAAGCGAAAAGGAGGGAAAAAATTCAAAAACACGAAAAAGCCACCATTCCGATACCAAATTTAGCTCTAGCGTCGTTAATATTCAACATCTTCGATTCATCTTAAAAAATACTGAATCACAACCGAATCTTTAGCCTACTAATCGCAACAGCGAGTTGTAGCGACTGTCCGTCTCTTTCTACCACAAATACCTCTTATGGAAGAAAACGCCGTTGAAGCGGAATTTGGCTACTTTGTTAATAGACTTTTACAACAACAGACACTAACAAAAGCTGGCAAGCGAAAATGAGAGGATACGGATTTTATGGCGAGGGCTGGCTAAAAGCTTTTTTACCTTTAAAACTTGGTAATGCATTGATATTCAACCATATTTAAGCAGTTACCAAGTACCCAATAAGTAAAATGACAGTTTTAACGTAAAAATTCGCTTGCAAATAACAATGTTAATATATCCTCTAGAGCTGGAAAACAATCGACGATAGTATCGATGTTATCAATGGCGTCTGTGGAACACCCAAGTCTGGTGGAAGTGGCCAAGCGCTACCTATGCATTTTCCTCGTCGGAATCTGAGAGGATGTTTAGCAGAGCCGTCCAAAGAATGGATTTAATTTTTTTTGGCTCAATCTCTACTGAACTAAATTTATTTTTATTTTGTTACTAACATTCCTTAAGTTCCCAAGGACGGATCTCATTGTTTTGTTTTGTTTGAATTTATAATAATATTATTTTAAATTAACTGAAACTGTAGTACAAAGAACTGTTAAAAAAAAATTGTTAAGTCGATATTATCGATGGCTTAAACTTTCACTGTCAAAAATATCGAGTGGGGGCACAATCGAGGTTCTTATTGATAGAGGTGGTATGCCAGATATCGAAAAAAAATCACGAGGACGGCGCCGAAACAGTCAAACGCACTTTTTCCCCATCTCTTGCGGCCTATGCTAAATGTGTCAGTTCCGAAATAATCCGGACTGACAGCCCACGGTCCCTCGATGGATTAGTGGTGCATACATCTGGAATGTTTTGATGGCCGGTGGGGCTACGTCCCGGATGGTGTTAGGATCAATCATCTCCGCAACTGGGTAAAAAAAGAGAGGAAGCATTTTTAAATTGCACTGCTGTTGCTGCTGATGTCATCGCTCTGATACAGTCTGCTTCACGCTGGGCCCTTGGCTCAGTGTAATTATCGAACGTGTACTCCTGGCTGGCAACGTTGAGCACGCCAGCTCGATTTCCCATGATCCACTCGGCAAGCAGTCCCAAAGTTATCTGGGATATCCCCACATAGGGGATACTGCATTGGGGTCCAGGCCGAGGATTGTAAGGTTTCTGCGAGATCTGTCCGTATTGGCGGCAGATGTTATCCTTGAACCGGCATTACTGCACCTTATGGTCAAATCCAACACACTTATGTTAAGCATAGTTGCCGACGAGCGACCGGCATCGGTGAGATAACCCCTTGATGTAGAGTCTGCCTACATCCAGTACAGCCAGCGCCTCGTCATTCACTTCGAGTGCCACGTTGACTGTGGCACCGTCGGCTGCAGACCAGGGCTTTGTCGCCAGGTTCACCCCCTTCAGGAATTCCTTCAGAGGAAAGTCCTCAAAAAGCTGGATCGACTTTCTTACGGCCTTTTCTCCGTAATTTTGCTTTGGAACAGCGCCGGGTCGGCGCAGGCCACTACCGCCGACCACGTTTCTCGGATTTTCGCTAACCACCGCCCGCCCAGAGCAGCGGTGGCTGCATACGAGGCAACCGTGGGGGCTAAAGGGACCAGTGGCGGCATAGCCCGGCGGGACTCAAGCCACGACTAATTCGTCGTAGCTACTCAAAGCATCCCACATACAGCTTGCCCGCTCGCTTCTCATCATAAGTTGTGAATAGCTCAAATAGTACGGCGGCGTGTCCGGCGGCAACGGCACTGGTAGCGCTAAATTTTGGCACTTCGGTCGCATTCGCGGCCGTCGTTACCGAGACGAGGAAGCATACGCCAAGCTGGCTCCGGCCATAATGGCGGAGCTCCTCAATCTCCGCAGCTTCTGTGGCTGCAAGCGACGTTCCCTGTCCCTCCAATAAGGAGAGCGTCTCCTCTAGCATCGGCTCCGGACATCCAGTTGCGCCATAAACTGCAGGAACTTTGGCCTCCGAAGCATCACGCGGCGTTCCCCTGCCGCGCTTGCCTTTACGGCGACCTCTGATAACATCCCTCGTCGCGCTGCTTGACCTACTACTGGCCGACATCTCACTTTCCGAAGCACAAATTTAGCTGGATCTAGCAATCGACGATTTTAAGCTCAATTATTCGATAGTTCCTAAGGCAGCTATATGATATCGTTTTTCGATTTTAGTAAAATTAAAAGCGTAATTCTGAACTGAAAAAAAAATAATTAAAAACAGAAAAGTTATAATTTTTTAATTTAATTTTAATTTTTTTTTTAACTAATTTGGTAAAAAATTATTACCATCTGGCTAAACAGCTGATTGTTATTTACAAGACGTCGCTTACAAACATCGATTCCATGTATCCGATAACAGTTCAATCCGAACAGTTGCAAAAATAATAAGTGTTTTGCGCTTAACCTTTTGAAGTTCTGCTATATAAAATATTTAGTTTTTGTTTTCTTTTATTATGCTAGCTCTAAAAAATTATAAGCAAACATTATTTAAAATCCAGGAAGCGACTATAGAAACAATCGAAAAATGTATTCGAAAATCTACACAATTTCATTGTTTGTAGTACTTTTTTAGAATATTACATTTGTGTTTTTGTTGCCATATCCGCTTCCTGAAGTCTGCTTTCTTTTTTGTTTTTAATTTTATTTAAATTTGGTAAATATTTATTTATTGACAATTTACTATTCAATTTATATAAAGAAAAATCTTTGAGCAAAACATTAAATCACATTAAATTTTCTTAGGCAGACTTTACATACAAACTGAACTTGCTGAAATTTCAGCAGTTCAGCAACCCAGTGTCTGCTGAAAATGTTCAGTATATTTCTGCTGAATTTTCTGCAATTCAGAGATTCAGTCGTTTCGGGAATACTCAAATTTTTCGACTCATTCATTGACGGATTCATTGAAGCTCAGAGACAGAGACAACTATATGGATACTGCTTTTGATTTTTTTTTGGTAATTATGTTTATCCGGCTAATTTAAACGTTTAAAGGTTTTTTGTTGTCATCTTTAAATGGTAAAAAATATTTCGT